CTTGCTGATAATCCAAGTCCACTATTATTATGGACTAGAGAAATTTCTTGTCACTTCATTCTTTATTACCATTATGGCAGTTTGCAAGTTGATTGTAATGAAAAAACATGGTCTACTCAAACTATCTACTGACTACTAGACTTATTTTCAGTTTTTTTTAGCAAAATTGTATCAGGAAAAGAATTGTATGTATTATATATATTTTTTTCCTTTCATGATATTTTCTTTTATAACTTTATGTTTTTGTTGGTTATAGTGGTGAAATTGATAATGAGGCACATAATGATAGAGCATATAATATCAATTATGATCAAAAACCATCCAATAGTGGATGTGTCCCTAAGAATGATGCAGTTGTATATCAAGACAAGTCAGCAACTATTTTATATGAACAATCTTACAGCCCAAAAGAATACACTCTGTCACACTATTTAGGTGACTTTTCTAAGCTTGCACATAATAGCGTTGATTATTTAAATTATCACTTTACACAATATGGTAATTGTACTACTACCACTGCAAAAAACTTTTAAATCCAGAGTATTCACAGATAGTAAGTATTTTTTTGTGCATGTGATGTCTGATTTTTTTACATATATACAGGGCTAAGTTTTATCAATATTTTTAGAATATAATGTTTCGGTGTATGTTACAGATATTATTTGTATTAAAACATATAGAATATATGAAGTATTAAGTTTTAGAATACCAATATCTTATTCTGAAAGATGGAATTTGTTTCATATTGCAAAATTCGGTGCTCTTTTGGAGGTATTACATTATTATTTTTTAGCATAAAATATCTCATTTACAATTCATTTATCAACTTTTCCATTATATATAGATGTAAAGGGGAAAATGTCAAGAGAACATTTTTTAAATAACGATAATACCCATTGTGTGGACAGATGGATAAAGATACCCCAAAACACAAGAAAAACCAAAATTTGTGAATGCATAGCTTTGAAATTTTTCTTAATAAAGATTGCTTATTCTTAAAATATATCACTACTTTTTTTTCAATATAAATAGTAAACATCATCAATCACAAATATAGTTTATTTCATTTTTAAGAAATACTGTGCTTATCAGAAATTTTTTGATATTGTGGGAATTATATGGTGAACGGAGTGTTCCACAAGTGTCCAAATAAGTTAATTCCTATTGCAGTTGGTCCCTCTCGGGGAATCCTATAACTCCAATGAAATATGTTTAAACTTTAAAATCTAAAGGCTTGATAACCAAGCAGGCTGTGAAAATAATCTTTCTGTGATTCTATTTCCAAATGCTCAATCAATAGCCATCAGAGTTTTTTTCATTTATATCAGTAAAAAAATTTTTGTAAAGATTCAAAATTGATTATTATAAAATTTTGGAAATGTTACAAATTTTCAAAATAACAGTTAAAAATCCGCATATATGATTGATGTTTATTATTTTTAATGACCAACGCCAATGAAAAAGAAATAATTAATCATAGGATTTCATTTCTCTTCTAAGGATTTCTGCTTTTTGTTGGGTAATAACACACCTTCATTCTGTTTTCTTTCTTAATGTTTATTCTTCTTTTTCCTTCTTGGTAAATTCATGAGTAATCCTTTCTTTTCTTAGATAAGCTTCAAGTTTCTGAGTATCATTTATTTTGAAAATATAAGGAGCAATTTTTTCACCTTGTTTCTTCAAAATACTTCTGATTGTACTATAATTCTTGGGTTTCATAGTAGACCTAATGTAAATTAGCTTCATATTAATTATTTTTATATAGGAGTAATTCTATATATCACTTAATATTAAGGAAAAAGCGGATAACAAGATAACAAACAAATGGGAGATTTTTAATAACCACATTACAAATTTTGATCCCTGGAATTCTTGGTAATACCAATGTTCACTTTGTCTGGTTTTGTTGCAACATGCCCCATATTGTATCTTTATATAACATATTGTATCTTCAGTAAAATTTGTGAATTTCCTATCTAAACAACAGGAAACTCTTCATAAAATGGAAGAGGTGATCATTTTTATTCATTTTATGCAAATTTTTATAGGCGCAGTACTTGAACAATTTGTTGCTGCATAAATCCCACAAACTATATAGTATAGGTTACATAACAAAAATCATGGTTTGATATAGGGTTTGACCCAATGAGTTGCCGCTGCGGTTATGAATTTTGCTGGCTGTAAGTATTTGATCAGTTCTATTGTCCTTTGAAACTTTTCATAAAAATCTTTTCCTAAAAACAAAAATCTTTAAACCAGGACAGTTGTCTTGGTGATTATGAAAATATTTGTAACGATGGTAATCATTATCATGCACCAACTTGTCAACATTATGCAGCCTACAATTCAGAAGATGAGCATAATGTGATGACTATTATGATGAAGAAGAGGAGATGATCATGAATATGATGATGATGTAGGTGATGTAGGTGATGTTGATGTTGTTGATGTTGATGTTGATGCTGATGCTGATGCTGATGCTGATGCTGATGCTGATGCTGATGCTGATGCTGATGCTGATGCTGATGATCTTGATGTTGATGATGATGATGATGGCAATGATGATGATGATGATGATGATGATGATGATGATGATGATGATGATGATGATGATGATGATGGTGATGGTGATGGTGGTGATGATGATGGTGGTGATGATGAATATCAAATGAAAGTATCAGATGATGATGATGATGATGATGGTGATGATGATGGTGATGATAATGGTCAAATGGAAGAATTAGATTTAGCCTTATGAATGAATAACCCTCACTTAATATTCTACCTTGTAGTTATTTTTAGCTTTTGTAATTCTATTTAAAAAGTTGACTTTTGATTTCTAATTTAATTAATACAAAGTTTTCAAATTTTTTTTTTTTCATAAAGAAATTATTATTGATGAATTAATTGGAAAAGTCATCCTTGCTTAGGAAATCAGTCACTTTCTCAATTACCCTCAATATCAATGATGATTCAAGCTACAATGACAAATATTTTATTGATCCACAAAAATCATTTTATACTGTAAAAATAACTGCAACTAATGCTTTTGAATGCCTACTGTTCCATTATTCCTTAACACAACTCCAAAGTGAAAATTCTCCATAACCTACATACTGCTCCAGAAATAATTGATGAAATTCTAATTCTAGGCTCACCAACAATAGCTTCACCCTCAACCAAGAAGTCTTTGCCCCCAATGTTGAGACTTTTTAATACGAATTTTTGTTTTAAAAAGAAATCTTGAGTTAAAAATTAATCCTTCTTTCGATTCATTCTCATCGTTATTACCATCAGTAATTATTGTATTCGATAAGCCAGTCTTTGATCCGTTTTTTAACTAATAGCAACCCACCATCAACTTGTTTATTAATTAATTAATTAATCAGGGATTGTCTTTATTAGTATTAGTTTACTATTGCTCATTAATTGAAGAAATTTACACTAAAGTTGTAAACATAATTATTATTATTACATATTGGCCGATTGACTTGTCCATTTTAGTTATCGTTGTCAACTGAGAATGATTTGTTAAGAGACTAAAAAGATTCGCCATCTTTTGTTAAATTTTTTTACCAATATTAATATTATTTGATTAATTTTCTCGCGTAATAAGGAACATTAAAATTACACAAAGAAATTCAGTTGGTTTAATATTATGACCAGTCAAGTTTGCTAGGTTTATCTTTGATGCTCATACAATTATAGAACATTGTTGGAAGGTTCTTCTTACTCTTGACAAAACGCTTTTTTAGCCACTTCTGATATTCATGGTGTCTTAGCTAGAACTCGAATTGATACAAACAATTTTTAAAATTTTTCTTTTTTTTGCTTTATTTATACACGAACTATTTGATTAATTAAATTTGATTGATTTACAATTGAATAGGAAAACTAGCTGACAGATTGGGTGGTTCCTCACTTTTGGGATGTGTTGTTTTTGGTCATGTTAAGCTGGTGATTCAGCTTCATCTCTTTCCAAACTGTTAATCGTCGTCATGGACAAAATTTCAGAATAATTGTCATCATATCAAGCGAGTATAACAGTTGATTTTACAAAACAATTGACAAGCTTACAAATTCCTTTGGTTGAACAAGTAGCCCCTGGAACTACGTCGTTTGCTCCAGCTGCTCAATCATCACCAGCTAATCCAGCGAAGACCCAAGCTCCAAAAGAATTGAAATCTTATACATAACAAGGAAGACGACTGCTGGATATGCAATTAATATATTAATATTCGAAATTGTTATGTTTATGATCAAATGTTTATTTTTATAATATTATAAAAAAATTATTAGGTTGTAGTAAATGTCCAAGTTTCAGGCGTAACTGTATATGAATATATTTGATCTAGATCATCCTTTGAGGCAAAAAAAAATATATTACAATTTAGAGGAAAAGGAGGAAAAGATACAAGGTTTATAATAAATTTAAATGGTTCTGCGATATATTCATATAATGTTTTGTTAACCATTAATGGTATTTTTACTTTATCTTTTAATAATGGTTTGATATGCTTCATAAAAAGAATGTGATTACATATATCAAAATTTAAGAATGAATTTTTTCCTTTTAATGTTAACTAGTTTGTTGAAAAATATGCACCTTATTTTCATGTTCCTATTGGATTGTTTCATTTCTTTTTATTTTTATTAATCAAGATTTATTTTATATCAAAATTCTTTTACATTGTTCTTGTTATTGGGTTATTGGAACACTTTAATGATCAATTTATTTGCTGCAATAATTAAATAATATAACGTGAAAAATAAATAAGATTATATATAAGAGTCATCTATTATTTGAATATTATTATCATCATTGAACTTTTTGAAATGCAAATCCTATATATATACCTTTGGAGGATTTGCGAGTGAAATGATTAAATAATGTTTAAATTAAAAAACTTTTTAAAAAATCCATCAATCAATTATTAAATTATTAAAATTACCAATTGCCTCCCATTCATCATCTGTCATTTTTGAATCATCTGGTCTTTTCCCAATTACTTGCATTTGAAATAAAAGGTCATAAAATTTATCGTTTTTTTTTTCTTCTTCATATAAATCATGAAAACTTTTTTTATATAGTAATTTGAGGCCATATTCTTTTGCCAACCTACAATTATATTATATTATTAATGATTAATTGATTTTTTGTATTGTTAAAACATTTATAACATGGAGAAATCCATTTTTTAATTACTTTTCAAATACAGGAAAATAAACCAAATATTCTGGGCAATCATCAATTGATTCTTCAAGATTAAACCAATATTTGTTCCCATATAATGGATATGATTCTTTTTGTTCAAATTTAATCGAATATATCGAATTTCCAAATTCTAATTCATTGTCGGGCAAACTTTTTAATATTTTTCTAGTGGTGAAAAAAATTTAGATTAATAATTAGATTTAGATAAATAAATATGTTAATAAATAATATATGAAATCTTACACGATCCGATAGGCATTAGGTACTGTTCCAATAAAGTAACCTCCTATTTTCAAACCAGAAGTGACATTTTTTAAGGCCATGCGTACTTTTTCTTCAGATTCAAATGAATAATGAAGACAAAATTGCATGCTAACAATATCGAATTTAATTTCATCTGAAATTATATCTGTTATTGGTTTCTAATATAATTAATTAATTAAATCAATATATAATTTAATAAATTAATTATTATGATAATAATATCATTTATCTTTATCAATTTAATATTTACTGAAAAACAATCTAAAACATAAAATTCTGCTTGTTTGATCTTGGATCCTCCTAAACAATTGAAACATTATGAAATCAGTCCAATTTTAAAAATATATGATGATGCACAGGAAATACAACAAAAATCCAATACTTTGACTTAACACCTCCCAACGTTTTTTTGCATCTTCAATTGATTTCTGTGCAAGATCTTTTAGATAAATTATCATTTACTTGTCAATTAAGTGGAAATATAGATAATGTAATAACTATTAAGTTTATTGTTAAATTTTACAACTCACCAAAACCATAATATTTATGAATTTCTGCTTTATCCCATTTATTCAGATCTCCTCCTTTTCCACAACCTATATCAAGTACAGTATTTCCAGCTGCCATATGTTTGCCTATCAATACACTTTTTAACCAATTATTAAAATTTCTTAAACGTAAAATTTTTGATTCCATCCTTTTCTCTCTGCCTTCTTCTCGTTTCTCGTTATAATGTCTTTCCACAACATGACTATTTGATGAAACAAAGTCGGTATGCTTGGGTATTTTTCTAGATTCCTGAGGGGTTCTATCTCCTAATTTTCTCTTTGATGAAGAGCTATAATTAGACATTATGTTATTGTATTATATATATATATATGTAAAAGAGGTTTTTTAAAAAAAGAGGATTTAATTAGTTTTATATTTAATAATTATTCTTAATTTGACCATTTCAATTAATATTAATATGGTTCAAGTTATCTATAAATGTCATAATCCGGAATTTAAAATTTTAGGAGATCTTTTCAATTTAAGTAATCCAATTTCTTTTATTAGAAAGATTTTCTGTATCATCATTCCGAAATCTTTAATCATTGACCGTTATAGATGTTCTGCACTATTACTATATATATTAAATATTTGTTGGATCACATGATCTATTCAAACAAATTTGTTTTTTTATCAAAGATGCCCAACATGCCAGAAAGACCAAGATTTAAGGAAGGTTTAGGTAAAATCAAAGATGAGAATCTTTTCAAAGAAATCAACAAAGTTCCATTATTTATGACTGAACTGCCTGAGGATGAAAGAGAAGAAAATTCTACTTTGTCAGCTTTACAATCTTTGATTTATGATGGACCACCAGAAGGTGTATATTTATTTATTTATTAGATAATTGATTATTTTAACATCATAATCATCCTTATACTCGTTATTGAATGTTGAAATAGAAATTGCAGAAAATTTTAAGAATCAAGGAAATGAATGTTTCAAATCTGGCAAATCGCATTATCAAGATGCAATAAATTTTTACACTAAGGCATTGGATACTGATTGCAAAGATAATAAAATAATTGAAGCTTGCTTAACTAATAGAGCTGCTGTCAATTTGGAATTACGTTAGTATAAACAATAATTGATCATTATTGGTGGGCTAGTAAAATATTAATATATATATATTCTGTTTATAGAAAATTATCGTAGAGTTTTAAATGATTGTGCGAAGGCATTAAAAATCAATCCTAAAAATATCAAAGCATTCTATCGATCTGCAAAAGCTTTATATATGCTTGATAAATTAGATGAGGCTTTGGATTGTTGTGATCATGCACTTTTGGTACATGCTAGCCATTCATCATTCATTTATATTATTAGCCATTTACGTATGTGTAATAATTTATAAACAAAAGTAAAAATTAGATTGATCCAAATAACCTTGCCATGCAAAAAGAGAAGGAAAAATGTATAAACCATAAGAAGGTCTTGGACGAGAAACGACGAAAACAATTAGAATTGGAATTAAAAAAAAGAGAAGAAAAAAATGCATTGGAAAAGGCGATAAAGGTTTTTTATTTTTTATTTCAATCGATAACTGCAACAACTACAAAATAATAATACTTTTAATTATTTTTGAAAAGATTCGCGATATTCAAATGGAATCAACTTCGAATGCTCCTGACTCACCACATTCTGTTCATCTTCATCCAGAATCACAACAATTAATATGGCCTGTTTTTTTTTTATATCCAGAATACAAAGAGTCAGATTTTGTTGCAGCTTTTAATGAAGATACTACATTTCTTGATCATTTAGAAGTAATTTTTGAAAATCCTGCACCCTGGGACGTTGATGGCAGATATAGATCATTAAATAATTTACAAATTTATTTTGAATATGATCCATCAAATAGTGGAGGAATGGATGCTAAACCAAAATTAATTAAGATTGGAAAGAAATGTATTCTAAAAGAGGCATTATCTCATCCCAAATACATTGTTAAGAATGGTATTCCTAGTTTCATCATATTATCAGATAAAGGAAGTTTTCATGATGAATTTATATCAAAATATAAAAGTTAGACTATATCAATATTATCATTTTATTTATTATCATTGTTAATATTATTATTAAAAATTTTTTAATCTTTTTCAACAATACGTTGGAGATGACTATCTATTTCATCAACTGATAATGTTCGAAATTTCTTATTATCTTTTGTAACAACGCCAACTTCAATTTCAGTTGATTTAAAATCGGCAGATAGTACTGTAGAAAGTGTAGTAATTGCTAACTATAATATATATTATATACGTATATAATTAGTAATTAATTAATTTGAATATATAATAATAACAATATTTATCTGTAATATATATATGTGTGTGCGTGTAATGTAAACATACTTCTATAGTTTCTTCATAATTCAACTTAGGATCTTTTTTAAGTTTTTTCTCCAAATGATTTAAAGATTCTTGCTGTTTAGCTCCAGCTGCAGTAGCTTTGTATCCAACATAATAACCAGCTGGGTCGCATTTGAAAAGTTGTGGACCTTTCTCGTCATCGTATCCGATCAAGATCATTGCTGATATATATATATATATATATATTATTATAAAATGTATATTTCAAAGTTTTTTTTTTTTAAAATAATATTTAATAAACAATAACATACAAACACCCAATGGTCTCATAGCAGCATGCTGTGTGTATACTTGGTTGATATTGGCTACACGTTTTGCAAGCATATCAGTTGGGATCTCATAACCAAACTTGTATCGAAATTCAGCACCTTCTTGTCTTGCACGAGTAACTTGAGAACGTGCATCCGCTTCAATAATAAATTAAGTTTATTCGTTAAAATAAAGAAATTTTTATTATTAATGATAATATGTTAAATATTCTAATTTACCATTTTTATTATTAATAATAATATGTTAAATATTCTAAATTTACCGATCAACCCTGTCATAACACATCCAACATATGGTGTTAGTTGAAAAACATGTGTAATAGTTGATGGATCTAATAACTTGTCCTAATTCATTAATTAATTATTTAATTATTTTAAAATTAATATATTTATATTTATATCCAGAGAAAAAAGTAGATTGATAACTTACAGGAACTTTTTTTTGTGTTACAATTACTACACTGTCATCTCCTCGAACACCTACAGATGTTATACCAGAATTTGATATTGCTTTGAAGGCATATTCTATTTTACATTAAAAAAAAATCATTCGAAATCAATAATTGCCATCTATACAGTTAAATTTAGTTTCTTTTTTCAATTTTTTTTTTACACTTTTCAACATCATACCAACTTGATAAAGTCTTCCTTCTGGTGAAAAAATTGTAATGTGACGATCGTAACCTGCTGATGAACCTAAGGATTTTCAACAATAAAAAGATCAAATTTGCTGGTGCTAGTATAATCATTAACAATACAAAAAGAGTTCCTTACCACGACTCATAATTTTTATATATGTAATAAATATAGTAAAGGAAATTCAATTTCATGTGACCAATTTTTTATTTTTTTTATTTGATTGGATGATCCCATACAAATTATCAACCAATGAATGACAAGTAGATGTTGAGATGGCAACGGATAAACATCATTTATTCCAACCAACGAGAAAGAAGTTGAAGGAGAACATTCCAACACCATGTATTCCAATTAATGATGCTGTTACTACCTTTGAAACTGTTCATCATTAAACTCACATTTACCATTAACAAACAGCAGTGCCATATTCTGCTTGTTATTTTCATTATAAATTCCTTGTTATTAGCGATGCGATCCGCAGATATCCATTCATTCCAAGATTGCCATTTAAAAATCCAGTATGTTATAAAAAGATAAAACAATCATGAATTTTATTTATTTATTATACATTTTATTTGTGTCCATGACTTTAAACATAAAATTGTGATTATTTAACTCGCACGTCATCAAGTCACTTGTTGTGCTTAGATACAATTAATTTAAAGGGCTATTTTATTTCTTTTGCGTCAATCTTAAAGCTTTCAACTAAAATTAAATCGAATCGAGATTAAAGCCTTTATTAAAATCACCTTTTTTGAGTTAAGCAAATAAAGATTCCAAGTTATCAATTTTGCAAATTTCTTGATTGAATTTCACAACACCTTTAGTATTAATAATGACGTTTGTTACTCTCTTCTTGGCATTATCTTATTTATTATTAATATTTTGTTGCGATGTATTTCAACGTGCGCGCTATTTAATTTGTATTGATCAACAAAGTTGAGTAAGTAGTAACATTATGTCCAATACAGTATATAATAAACAAGTCGAGTTCCATGTATTTTAGCAAAAACTTTTTTTTCTTGAGACTTGAAAATAATTAAACCGCATCCAAAACTATGCGCTGGTAAATAAATACCCCATTCAATTTTGATCCTTTATTTTTATTGTCATTGATTAAATTCTCTCCCCCAAAAATTAATCGTTGACAATAATAATTATAAATTTTTTTGTACACAAATGTCAAAGGCCGATACAACCCTATTGATTAAAAATCAATGTTTTATCAATTATTCTTGAGATTATATTGTTCGTGTACTATATTACTACAAAAGGATTATAGGTGTGAATCAAGAGCATTTTTTAAAGGTTTAAAGTCATGTTTCACAACGCACTGGATGGTTATCTTAATGCTGAAGAAAACTTGTTCAAAGATCAGTTTAGGAAATTTGCATATTATATACTGGTATAAAAAATAAAGGAGGGCGAAAATGAAGAATCCCTTGGAATATTTATCATAAATATTGGGTGTTCTGAGCCAGAATTAGAGAAAATATTTGAATACCACTATAACTAATATAGAATTGAATATAGAAGAAGATTATTTATACCAAATCAGAGATTTGGATGGTGTAAAGATGAAGTTTTGACTGATATAAAAATTATTTTTCTTTAAATATACAAGAGGGTTCCGGTACACCTACATAAAAATGAATATTGTTTCAGCTTTAAAAAATTATATTCACAATTAGCATTATTAATTCACAAGATTTTATGAATGATCCAGCACAATGCATAGAAGATTTATGGATCACTTGTCCTGGAAGGAATTTGATTTGAGTGAAATAAATATTTCTAAAAATCAAAGAAATTTAACTAGATACTTGGGATGAGTATATATGAATTGATTGATGAAAATAATGACAATGAGAAAGGTTCTTTATTCTTCCTCTTTCTTCATATCAAGTTGGATATTTCCTAGTTGATCAATCATACTGTATCTGATTTTGATGAAAGCAGTGTTCATTGAAATAAAAATCCTGAGGAAAGTTTAAGAAAAAATAAACGACAAAGACAAGGAAATAATCATATCAAGAACATAATTTCCCGATAAATGTAAAAGTATATTATGGAAAGAAGATTTTTATGATCAAATATTTAATTTAAATAAAAAGATTTGTAATTATTTTATCATGAATTGTATTTAAAAATATTATTGTTTTATTAGCACCATTTCATATATTTTAGATTTGAAAGAAGAAAAAAGCATTCATGTCTGTTTGATAAAAATCATTTTTTTTAATTTTAAAAATATAATTATATTAGAAATCATTATAAAACCACAATTGCCCTCTACTGAGAAAGAATGTTACCTAGGAATGAAGATCTTTCAGAATGAAGGCTGGTATATATTCACTCAATAAAGAATCCGCAGGAATAGATTGATTGTGGGTGTGGATCCAGGATTAAGGGCATTTCTCACTGCAGTTGATGGTGATGATAATTTAGGTTGTAAAAATATCGAAAAAACACATCTTTAAAATTACAAGAGTTATCAGCAAGTGTTTATAATCATTAAATTTATTATTTTTATTATTTTATGCAGCTTACATTAATTATAATAATCTATATTAAAATGGAAAATATCCATTATTGATTGGGCGAAGCTATGCTGGACAAAAGTATACCACATTTTATTGTAAAGAAATAATTGCAACATTTTGTTCCAAAAGTTGCAATGTTTTATTGTAAATAATGCAACACTTTGATTGTAAACTATAACTAATATGAAATCATATTTATCATCATATATGTTGACAAATTACAATGTCATTTGCTGTTTTTCAAATGACCAAGGTCATTTGGTATATGAAATTAATAATAAAATATTATATGTCTAGGTCATTTCACAAGTCATTTGTCAACACTGCAATAAATATTATATTCGTAATCCTTAACATGCAAAAACATATAATCATGTGATACATCAAAAATGTCAATGAAAATATACAGTCAGACCTCCATAAATGCACCCCCCTTGGGACCAAGGGACACGATGAACGGCAGTTACAATAAAAAACTCTTCAATTTGTTTCTGGTATTCAGTTGGATCTTTTTGAAAAAGATAGTTGCGAACTGAATTATCTAAACTTGGCACAGCGTGCATTTATGGAGAGAAGCAATTTCATTGGTCACAATATTTTAAATACAGTAATACTAAAATAGCTATCCATTGTAGTTCGTTTTGATGAATTTACTTTTTTTATATTGATATATCTTTCAATTTTATTAACCAATTTTATTTGTTTGTAGCATTATTTTTTCTTGCTGTAATAAAAATGAATGTACAGTTTCAAGACCTTTAATGCTTCCTCAAGGCTTAATGTCATCTTCTCAAAATTGTCAGCAGGTACATTCATTTTATTTTTATATATTTCTGCAAAGTTCTTTGATTATTTTATCATCATCTGGAACCTCACAGACAATATTTTCTTCAACTTGCATTTTATGAAAGCATTTAGTGACACAAAGTAATGAAATTACATATTGGAAATTATCCAATCAAATCAAAAATTTGCCGATGATTTCTAAATTTATCCTATATAGTTACACGATGAATTTTATACATTAGTCACGTGGGATGCATTTATGGAGGGAGTTTTCATATGAGTGGGACTGAAAAAATACCAGAGTATGGAGGGTGTGCATTTATCACTAAGTCCTGAGGTTGGGATCAAGACATAGCGCGCATTTATGAGGTCTGACTGTAAATGAAATTTTTTTTTTCAAATCTGTTTAAATATTTGTACCACAATTTGGAAGTTAATATTGGATCAATGATTTAGAATGGTTTATAAATTATATTATTCTCGCATACAATTAATGCTACTTTAATCATCAACATTTTTGTTTAATTTAGGTGAGAAGATACTAATACTCAAATTTAAGAATGCATTGCATTATGTAGAAAATTTATCGTGTATCATTTGTAAAGATATGTAAGTTTTATTATAATTAATGCTACCAATATTTTTGTTTAATTTAAATGATAGGATGCTCAAATTTAAGAACGTATTTCACAACTATGTAAAAAAATTTATCCTATATCATTCATAAAGATTTATTTAACATGCCATTAATATTTAGATGAGAAGATACTAATACTCAAATTTAAGAATGCATCGCACAACTATGTATATTATAAACAAAGGTTTGTAAATTTTTGCATATAGTTAATGCTACCCAACTATATAACAAATCATTGATATTTTTTTAATTTAGATGCTTTTTTTTTCAAGATACTCAAATACCATGTAAGAAATTTTATTAAAACGTATATATAAATTCTTTTAAAATCTAATATTAATACAATATATATTGTAAAAAACTCCAATTTTTTAAACACATTGCACAACTATGTGATGTTATAAGCGATGCCTCCCTTGAAGTAGACATGTCCCTCTTATAGTGTAGCAAATACCTTTTCTTGTGGGGTTGCTTTTGTGATTATAGGAGAATTACCCGAGTTATTTGTCATACGAGTTTGCTTCTGTAAGTTATGGAACCAACCGTAGCCATAATCATCATTCTCTAGTAGATGATGGCTCAGTGCTTTGACAAGGGTAATTAGTTCGTTCTGCAAAATTATGCAGCTTCAAGATAATAATCAGCTAGAATTAAAGATATAGGTATACTCATAAAAGTTTTGGGCAGAGTATTTTCCTCCCATGCAGTCATTCTAATTTAAAAACTGATTTAAAAATTTGATTTATATAATATCAATGAAATTTAGTTATTTATTAAAATAAAAAAATAATTACAAAAGCAAAAAAAAATAAAATAAAAGTTGAGGTAAATTTTATTGCACGGACTTTTTTGTCAAAAACTTCTTTTCAAAAACTCTTTTTTTTTTTAATATGTCAAAAAATAAGAAAATATGTGTTAACACATACAGAAATTGGTTATCATATAAGATATTCAAAAATGAAATTGCATAGTTGAAACGCGGCTGTATTTTATATATATAGAAGAATAAATTCTAAATTTCTATTTTACTACATAATTTTGAGATGTCGGGAGATTGTCTTATCGGGAAATCGATGTCGGGAAACATCCTGTCGGGAAACGGGTTGCCGGGGGATCCAATAATTTAAAAAATGTTATTTTATTTATTATTAATTAATTAATTAATTAATTATTACAAAGCTACATGGTCAAAAGTAACCTATTTGAAAGTTATTTATTTGAAAGTCATATATTTTTTAACTCGAGACATTCCCATGAATTATAAAGTAACATATTTGATGACTAATCATGAAAAGTAGTCTAAACATTACTGTTTCTAATAGCCAAAATACCTCTTTGATATTTCTTGATCATAAGAACAAAAAGGACACATAACCATTTACAAATAAAGAAATTAGATGATATTAAACTGAAGATAAATTTTTGAAATTTAATCTGTGTAACAATAATTCTGGTAATGAATCCCGTTACTATTTCACAATATTGACTACCTTTTTAAATTGGCTACAGACTTTTAACATCAGGTACAAGAACAGGAGGAGAAACCAGAGCAACTATTTATTATTATTATTATATGAGTGAGTAATTAAATTTTGGGGTGGGGTGTTTGAATACAAAATTCTGATTGGCTAATTTGAATTTCACGCGCGTGAATTTCAAAATTGACGCAGATTCCAAATTCACGCACAACATGAGAATAGAAAGCGCCCTGGCAATCAATTATGTGGAGTGTCATCTTGTGATGCAAATAGCAAATTTTAGATTGTTTTGTTTTTAAATAAATTATTTATATATAATGCCCCGAACAAATCAACAAAATTCGAACTGAACAGAATCTAATACAAATACTATCTAATATATAAATAAACTAGTTTTGATTTGATATACACTACCTATTACATATAAATAAATTAATATAGCAATCATTATTTAAATTGTAAGAAAATTCGAAATTTTATTAAAAATGTTCTTCATGATGAGTTATACACAGTAATGGGAATTGGGCAACTATTGATCATGACCCGTATATTAAAATAAAGGTCATTTTAAATAAATCCCTTTTGTCAAGGTCACAGAAATTAGTAGCACAAAACTTTTTTTATCAACAACAAACAAACAAACATCTTTAAATTTTTAAATAAACAAGTAACGTACCAGATAGCGCGCCAAATCATCCAAATAAAAATTTCTTGTGTCTATTTTGGCCGACTTTGTTAGTAGTAACTGATTGTTAATACGAAATATTAATGTTAATATTAATAATGAAGTGAGGATGTATGCGTTGTACAGTTATCATTATCAATGCCAAAAGTATTTTCCCATTTGTATATATAAGAATGAATTTTTAAAAAAAATTAAAAAAATGAATTCAATTATCAAAATGAAATTATTCACATTATTCATAATCTTAATTTGTGTTTTATCATTGTTATACGTGAATCAAGGTGATAAATTGATGTTGATTGAAACTGTCATCCATCAATTTCAAAAACTTTAAACTATGAAAAAATATCAACAAATTTATAAAAAGTTTAAAATTTTTGAATTTGTGGATGTTATTATAAAAATTATTTTCTAATTATTATTATTATTATTATTATAAAAAATTGTTTTCCTATTATCATAGTAAAATCACACCCGCAAGATCCAGAACCAACACCGGAACCAGAACCAGAACCAACACCAGAACCAGAACCAACACCAGAACCAGAACCAACACCAGAACCAGAACCAACACCAGAACCAGAACCAACACCAGAAACAACACCAGAACCAGAAACAACACCAGAATCAGAACCAACACCAGAACCAGAAACAACACCAGAAACAACACCAGAAACAACACCAGAAACAACACCAGAAACAACACCAGAACCAACACCAGAACCAGAGTCACCGACACCAACACCGACACCGACATTGGCACAGCCAGAGGATTGTGCGGTGACCAGCACCTTCTGTGGTGAATTCTGTTGTCTAATTTGTTCCGCAACTCGAACGGTCGCCTGTGATTCCAAATGTTGTGATATAACACCAGAACCAAAAAAGTGCGTACCACCTCAAACGACCTGTGGTACCACCTGTTGTGACCCAGATCCACCGTGTCCGTGCGAGGATTGTCTAGCGCAACCGTGTATACCGGTATCGTGTACACAGCAAGCGTGTGTACCAGTATCGTGTACACCGGTATCGTGTACATCAGTGGCGTGTGTACCGGTATCATGTATACCACATGATTGTGTACCGCCGGTATCGTGTACACCGGTACCGTGTACTACTACTAATATTGAAGAGTATGTCACTAGTCCGATTTATACCACTATTGTCAATACAGAATCTACCACTGTTGAGAATCCAAGTTATACTACTGATACCGACACTGAATATACTACTAGTACTGATTATATTACTAGCACTACTACAGATTCTACTACTAGTACAGATTATATTACTAATACCAGCACTGAATATACTACTACAAATATTACTGCAGAGACTATTATAGACATATTAAATTATAACTTGACAGTAGCAACTAATAGCATGACAGAGATATCATACAGGGTTGAAAAATTATTTACTAGTGTTGTAGCATTAGCACCATTGACATTATTATTATTAGCAGCATCAGTTGCAAGTGGATATATGCTTTATCAACAGAGAAAAAACAAGTCAGGAGGTTCACAAATTCTACGCAGTATAGGGCGTGGCAGTACAAATGCCAAGACTCAAAAAGAAAAAGAAGAAGAAGAAGAAAAAGAAAAAAAGGAAATCGAAAAACCAAAAATAGAAAAGTATGGTTATTACAGTTTCCCATTAATTTCTGATCTTAAAAAAATGCCAAAAGAAGAATTAAAACAAGTCAAGGACTTTACGGTTGGAAAATATAATGTTGGTAATATTCTTTATTCTGTTCCAGTGGATCTTAGTGAAATTGAACCCATAGAACAAATATTTGGTAAAACTATTGTCATTGAAGATAAAAATTGTACAGTTTATGGAGAAGGTTCTAATAAACCACCAGTTGGAAGTGGTCTTAATAAAAGAGCTGTTATCACATTGGATGAGTGTTGGGCAATAAATAAACTTACTCGTCAACCAATAAAAGATCCAAAAGATTCTCAATATCAACAACATATCCTTAGACTAAAGAATATACCCAATACAAAATTTATTACATTTGCTCCAGCAACCGGAAGTTGGGTGTTTGAAGTAGAAGATTTTACTATTAGTGGTTTTGATTATGAATCGATAATAAATAAAAATTCTACTAGTAGTAGTAGTAGTAAAGAAATTTTTGAATGATGCCAAATTTTTGCTTTTTTATGATATTAATATTTATTTTTTTATTAAGACAAAATGTCAAATCAAAATTTTTTCTACACTTAAATATAAAATGAAATATTATATTAATTTAATATCAATGAATTATAAATTCGTTGAAACGTAATTTCATATGCGTCCCATCATATGTACGGAATAGATAGTGAATATTAAATATTTAATATTAGTAATAAATACCAACACGGAATATTAATCTTCATTAATACTAGATCTGACTTCCTATTACCTAAATAATATCCGGATCAGTCAACAATATCTATGATGTAGTTAAAATTGTTAAATTGAAACTGAATAAACTTCATAGACTTTGTTTGGCATATCTGTTTTTTCTGAAATGTTAAATTTAAATATGTATATACAGGGTGTTAAGAAAAAAACGGTGGTTTGTAAAAATTTTGTTTTTAATGAAAAAGTAGCCAAAATTATATGATGAAAATTATTTAATTATGTTATGTAATTGTTGAGATATGCAATTTTTTGTCACCGCCGTTTTTTTCTTTAACGCACTGTATATTTAAAATGGGGACTAAGTCTCATTTAAAAACAGCAACATTTTAATATTAAATAAATCCCCTTTTTGTCAGGTCACAGAATTAGCAGCACAAAACTTTTTTATCAACAACAAACAAACAAACATCTTTAAATTCTTAAACAAGTAACGTACCAGATAGTGCGCCAAATCATCCAAATAAAAATTTCTTGTGTCTATTTTGGCTGCCTTTGTTAGTAGTAACTGATTGTTAATACGAAATATTAATGTTAATATTAATAATGAAGTGAATATGTATGCGTTGTACAGTTATCGTTATAAATACCAAAAATATTTTCCATTTTGTGTATATATTATATATATAATAATAATAAGAATAAATTTTAAAAAAAATCGAATTCGATTATTAAAATGAAATTATTCGCAATTTTAATTGGTGTTTTATCATTGTTATTCGCGAATCAAGGTGACATAGTAATTTTAATTGAAACTGTCATCCATCAATTTCAGAAACTGTAAATATGAAAAAATATGAACCTCAGCAATCTTATATAATTTTTATATAATTTTTTAGTTGCATATTTTTCATAAATAATATAGGCCTATAATTTTTTATATTATGCAAAAAAGATGGATATCTTCGTAAATTTGTAAAAATTTAAAAAATTACAATTTTTGAATTTGAGGATGATATTATAAACTAATTATTATTGTTGTTGTTGTTGTTGTATTATAGTAAAATCAGCGTGTACACCAAATCCAACGTGCCCAACGTGTCCACCACCAAAATCGTGTGATCCGTTACCGTGTTCACCAGTAAATTGTCCAGCAGGAGATTGTACACCATCAGAATGTCCAACAGTAAATTGCCAACCAATAGATTGTCCAGAAGAAACGTGTATACAACCATGTGATCCGGAAACGTGTACTATTACTAATACTATTGAAGATTCTACCTATGTTTCGATTGATATCACTACTACCGTTACAGATTATACTACTCCTGTCATTACAGAGTATACTACTGTTATCACTACAGGTTATACTATTAGTACAGAATTTGTTGCTAATACTATCACAGTTTATACTACTGGTACGGTTACTACTACCACCACCAAGACTATTTATAATACTACAAACATTACTGCAGAGTCTATAATAGACATATTAAAAGATAACTTGGCAGTAGCAACTAATAGCATAACAAAGATATCACACAAACATGAACAATTATTTTACAGTATTGCAGCACTGGCACCATTAGCAACATTATTATTAGTTTCATCAGTTGTAGGCGGATATATACTTTATAAAAAGAAAAGAACACCAGGTGGTTCACAAAATCCACGCGGTGTGGAAGATGGCAGTACAAATGCTGGTGCTAAACAACAACAAGAAGAAGAGAAAAAAGAGAATCATAAAATAAAAAAACCAAAAATAGAAAAGTATGGTTATTACAGCTTCCCATTAATTTCTGATCTTAAAAAAATGCCAAAAGAAGAATTAAAACAAGTCAAGGACTTTACGGTTGGAAAATATAATGTTGGTAATATTCTTTATTCTGTTCCAGTGGATCTTAGTGAAATTGAACCCATAGAACAAATATTTGGTAAAACTATTGTCATTGAAGATAAAAATTGTACAGTTTATGGAGAAGGTTCTAATAAACCACCAGTTGGAAGTGGTCTTAATAAAAGAGCTGTTATCACATTGGATGAGTGTTGGGCAATAAATAAACTTACTCGTCAACCAATAAAAGATCCAAAAGATTCTCAATATCAACAACATATCCTTAGATTAAAGAATATACCCAATACAAAATTTATTACATTTGTTCCAGCAACCGGAAGTTGGGTGTTTGAAGTAGAAGATTTTACTATTAATGGTTTTGATTATGAATCGATAATAAATAAAAATTCTACTACTAGTAGTATTAGTAGTAGTAAAGAAATTTTTGAATAATACCAAATTCTTTACTTTTTTATGATATTAATATTTATTTTTATTCAGACAAAATGTCAAATCAAAATTTTTTCTATATTTAAATACAAAATGAAATATTATATTAATTAATATAAAATTCAGTTGATGCAATTAACGCATATCATTTTATTATTATATATTTTAGTATTTTTCATTTGTACATGTGTTTATATATATTATACTAAAAAATAATAAAAATGATATTTTATAAAGCGGGTTGGAATGGGTGGGTTGGGTGCAGTGTTTGCCACCTGAAAATTCTTTGCTTCTGCAAATCTTGTTTCAGCGTAATTTTCATATAGGACATGCTGCAACAAAACCAGACAATTTCAAAATTTAGTCATTTGTAATGTGATCATAATTAATATCCCATTGTTATCTTAAGTGATATATAGAACTATATAAAATAGTTAATATGAAATTAATTGGGGCATGCTGCAACAAAACCAGACAAAATGAACATTGATATAACAAAGAATTTCAGGGATCAAGATTTAATCATCACCAACATAACATGATTATGATTTAACAAGAAATGCCGGGAAAAATTATGTCATAGAAGGTGTAAAAGTTCTTAATGAAGCAAGGTTCCACAGTTCATATGAAGTTATTTCCACTATATGTCCTGAAGATCTAGCCAGTCAAGCAGGTAATTAATATATTTGATCCTCATATATGAAGGCAACACGTCATGTGCTGAATGATGTTTTTTATAAACTCTTGCAATAGATATTAATACAAGTTATAGTCAACAAATTGATCGATTACAAGATGAGGCACAGCAACTTCTTTTTGAATCGAAATGTTACTATTGGTATTCAATTATTAATATGTTGATTCTTTTCTATTTAATTAAGGAATGTGATAATAATGAGATGACTGAAGATTCTTTGATTGAATTTGAGAACAATATAAACAGATGTCGACTGATAGAAAATGGAAACTGCCATCGGGTAAATTTGTTGAAGAAATTATTTATAATTATGTTAGATTTTAAATACGATCTAAGCTATCTGAGATATCCATATAGTTTATTTTTCATGTTTAATAATAATAACAAATGGTTGGTTACGAAAAAAAATGTTGGGACGGCAGTCCTATTTATACGTTTCGAATTAATAAAATAGGCTGTTGTCTTGGCCCGAGTGATGATTTCAATTGACACAAATTTGGTTTTCACGCCAACATCAATCAATCCCTTTTTTCTTTTCTAATATATATCAAAAGTAGTTCATTCCAACCATCACTAGCACATGAATTAGTAAGTAAATTACGTTTCGATGGAATTTTCAAAATCCATTAATAATATTTATTGAAATACTTGATTTTTCTTTTGTAATTGAAATAAAAAATTAGAGATTGTTACGACTCACAATGAAGAATATGTTGGAAAAACTTGATGAAAAAGATGCAAACATTTCACATTATAATAAAGTTGCAGAAAAAAAAGCAACAGAGATCATTGATATTGAAAAATCATTATTTGAGATTTTTCAACAACTGAATGGTGGCAAGGATTTTAAATTTCTTTTCTGTTTGTTAATTTAACATTTTTGGTAATATTTTCACTTCAAGCAGTATCAGAAAGGAGCAATTGTTTACATCGAATTGAAAAACTACAATTTATGAGTTGGTAGAGTTTAGACCTGATCCAAATCTCAATCTAATTATTGGACCTAATGAGGGTAGAAGTGCTTTCATGTTTGCTATTGCTCTTGGCTTGGGATGTAATACTTTGGTTAGGAATTTAAATGTTTTATATCATTATGCTAATCTGTTGATGAAAATAAGTTATATTAGAAGGGTAATAATAACTATTGATCGATATTACTTGTTGTTTATTTATTCCCTCATTTAAAAACAAAGTTTCTCAAGGATATAAGAAATATTTCTCATTTTATAAAAGATGGACAAAATCACGCATCTATAAAGATTGAATTAAAACATGATGATGATAATGTGATAATAATTTGTTTGATCACAAGAGCTGATAATAGAACTCAATGGACATTAAATGGTAAATTTTTCCATCTTTGGTGAGAAAATTCTCAGAATATAGAATATTTTTTAATAATTTTGCTTATTAATAAAAATATTAACATTCATTCATAATTATTAATATAGTCCAATACTTGCTCATGCTCCATATGCGTCCCATCCTACGTACGGAAATAGTAATAGGTAGTGAATATTTAAATATTAATATTAATCACTAAAAATATGTTACATGTCAATTTTTCCTTAATATGATTAATTAACTTGTACCATGACAAAATTAGCACATATGTTTAATCCAAACATTGATTTACGTGCCTGCTGATTGATTATCTTAAAATAAAAATCATACAGTGTATTGCGAAAAAAATGGCGGTTGCATTTTATAACATATTAATTATTAGTATGTAGACTGGAACAATTATTATATTAAACTTGTGAATTTATTTTATTTTAATTGACAAGATTCCAGAAAAGCCGGATGCGTGAGATTTATAATCTTCGGAACTTTAGCTACAAATTGATACAATGTTTTCTATTGTTATTAATTACAGTATGTGTTTTTTTTTGTTTAATTTAATACATTTGGGGTTTCCGATACTTTTCGGCACAAGTCAAAAAATTTAGTGATGTCTAAAAAGATGTGAATCGGCTTTACAAAAAAAATTGACAATAGCAATAGTAATAGTCTATTAGGATTTTAAACAAATAAAATATTATTAAATTATTTTTCCTTGCCGTCATTTTTTTTTCACACTCTGTATATTATTATTATCAAAAGTGTATAATTAGAGATTAATTGAAAATATGAACATTTAAAAATAAAAAAGAAACCATATTTCTCATTACTTCATTACTTACCACTAATATTGCATTAAGTAGCAGGAATAGTAGAATTGGATAATTGTAAATAGAGGGGCGGGATTTTTTTTAATATTTTCTTGTAACGGGGGTTTGTGTTGTTTGATTGTGACCAATTGAATTAATAATGTCAAATTGATTTCCTCGTACAAATATCAAATCTTTTGCCAATTAATAATTACCAAAACTATGGATAGTGCCAACAACAACATTAGTTTCAATACAATCAACTTCCAAATAAATAAGATGAACTTTTTGGGATATTTTCATTGAATAAAATATCTTGGTGAAGTATATTGTTTTCCTTATTAATAACCTACTTGTAAAAACTACTCTTCATTGATAGTTATCATTGTTTCAATAGCATTAATTTTAGTCGCGCATAGAAAGGGCGATGACGGCTGCTGGTTACTGGTTTTTATCCAAAAGGTTTTTTAATCTAGTCGTCAAATGTATGTATATAAGTAATTCCACTAAGCCAAAATAATATTCACTAATCAAACTTACCGAGTTTTTATCAGAAGAAAGATTCCCCTTTCTCCCGGTTAGCTGTGGTAAAATATACATCATTTTTCGTTTTACACATTAAATATAAATAATAATAAATAAAAAAATCCCACGAACAATGTATTATATCGTGTAACACTAAACAGGTTGAATCACTGTTTTTTTACTTATTACAAATAGAGAGTCTCTAAAAATTACATAAATCAATAATAATAAATACTATATTAATGTTAGTCGAATTTTCTTTTAAAAAATATATTATAAAAACGAGAAGTTGGCGTGTAACTTTTACTAATTATTTTTCCTATTTAAATTCTTGTCTATCTGGATCATTACCTCGTAACCCTGAGAATAGAATGATCTGTATTTGTTTGTTTATATATATGTATAATAAAAAATAATAAAATAATAATAATAAGTGAAAAAAAATAAATAAATATTTTTTTCCATTAAATGTATTAGAAAATTTTTTGGCAAAAGAAAAATAACATTAATTATATATAAAAAAATGTCTCATACACCTCGCGAATTAAGAACACCAACACCTTATGATTTTAGTAAGTCTTGCTGCTTGTATAAATTAAAACCATTTTATACGCTTTAATTATTTAATTGGTTACATCTCAATAGGTTCTAACCAAAGTGATGATGATGATTCAGAAATTGATGAATTAGCACCTCTTACCTCCACAAGAAATGGTAAATCATCTGAAATTTTATATTTATTTATGTAATTAATCTAAATATCCATATATTATTATTCATCAATTAAAATTTTCAATTAATCAATGCCTTTTTTTCTTTTTTAAAATCATCTTCCTCATCGTCATCCAAATAATAGATCCCAAGTCAAATTTTTCATGGGCAACATTTAGAACTAGACTCAGATATTATGTACCAGTATTTAGTTGGATGCCAAGCTATTCATTGAATACTTTTTGGGGTGATTTTTTTGCAAGCTTGACTGTTACAGCAATTTTACTACCTTCATGTTTATCATTTTCTGTGTTGGCGAAATTGCCTCCAGTACATGGGCTATATAGTATTGTGATTCCAGGAGTCATCTACTCATTTCTTGGTACTTCAAGGTGTGAATTATAATTAATATTTGCGTTTATTTTGATTTATTCATTCATTTACCCATTTATTCATTTTTAAATATCCCTAGACAATTGGTTATCGGACCAGAAGCTCTAGTGGCAATGCTTGTGGGGTCGTCAGTAGCACAACAACAAAAGTATTTAGGCAAAGTAGATGATGAAAGTGTTGCAATAATGATAGCATCATTGATAACATTTTTTGTTGGAATTCTGACATTTATTCTTGGAATTGTTAGATTGGGATTTATAGATTCGGTGTTATCACGTGCTCTTTTGAGAGGTTTTATTTCAGCAGTGGCAATAGTAATTATTATTGAACAATGCTTAGTGATGTTGAGATTAACTGACTTAAATCATCATGAAGGGAAAGGATTGGGACATGCATCTTCAACTTTAGACAAACTCATTTATATCATAAATAATATTGAACAATCGCATATACCAACAGCCATTATATCATTTTCTAGTCTTTTATTCTTATTGGTTTTTGGTTCAATCAAAGGATATTTGTCAAAACGATTTTCATGGGTACAATTCATACCTGAAATATTTATATGTGTAATAA